CGGACACCACACTCACGGACACCGCAATGCCAGATGCTCCTGCCCAACAAGCTGCTGCGGTATGAGACGAACCCGTCCGATGAGCCTGCCAGCTCAGTCCAGCTAATATCCGTGTCTACTAGTCACCCTTACCTGTGGTACAAGCACCCAGCCCTGCCCCTCACCGGACTGGGACACCTACTCAAGGCTCCCGAGCGACTTCAGCACACCCGGACCTAGGCTTGACCATTCCTACAGAGGCTCCACCACATGGGGACTCTACACGGCGGTATCTGAATACCAAGGTCACAGGTGTCTTGCTGGAAGGGGTAAAGCAAGTCGCCAAGGACAGGTATGTCCTATTTGGATCACGGATCAATTGAGTTTGCAACTGACCCTTTACGCTATTTATAGGCCCGAAGACCCATTACGAATACTTGGGGAGTATCTTATTCAGAAATCAAAAGAGCTAGAGGGAACCCGGTAATGGGAAAGGCGGTCGAGGGAATCACTAGCAAGGGAGACTGGGATTCAAGGTCCATTGTGGATTTGGGACGGGCGTTCAGGAAGGTCTAAAATGGTCTAGACGAAATTATCGATACCCAAAAGCCGTCATGAGTTACGTTCATCTGTCTTGTTTTTTTTTGCTCTCGGTAGTTGAAATGCTTTATATTTGAAGCATAAAAGTTGCTACCTCTCTCCGGGTCCTCCAGACCGGCGCATTGGCATCATGGCTCTAAATGCAAGATTTTCCGTAATTTGTCCCCCAACTCCAATGACCAGGGTTAAAACCACCTCCGGCTTACACAGCGTTTCCGCTTTATGCGACAATGGTGCTGGCAGTAGCAGACTCGTACTTCCAGGTAGGGGGGAGGACACCGACGGTCTTGTAGTAGCGGGCCAGACGGTGGATTCGGGACTCGATGAGAATCAGGCGGAACTTGGAGTCCTTGTCCTTGCGGTTGCGCTCAAGGTGCTTGCGGACGGAGACAGCCTATGGGTTTCAATTCCGTTAGTTTTGACCGTTCATAATCACGGGGGGGAAGAGGTTATGCTCACCTTCTTGATCAGCATGTACAGGTCCTCAGGGAGCTCGGGGGCAAGGCCTGTGAAAATCTCTCTGTCAGTCTTAACCGTACAGAGGCATAATTATAACGGGAGATTGTCGTCTCCACGAAAAGTTCATTGTGTATAATCCATCTCTTCATTTTATCCGTTCCGTCTCCTTCAGGGAATCGTACCGTTGGACTTGAGAATGCGCAGGATTCGGTTACCTGGGACGATAGAAGTTAGCATTTCGGCTGAATTGAGAGACGTCGCAAAATATTGATTGACATACCAGTGACAAGCTTGACCTGGGCAACGCCGTGGGAGTCACGGAGGACAACACCAATCTGCGAAGGGGTGGCACCCTTACGGGCGAGCTTGCAGATCTGCTCGACGACCTGGTCGGGGGTGGTCTTGAGCCATGCGGGAGCAGTGCGGGAGTAGGGGACGGCGGAGGCAGAAATGCCCTTTCCCTTGCTGTGAAGTCTACCCATTTTGTCGGTTTGGTGGTGGTGTTGGTGGTTTGTCGTGAGAGGTTGCAAAAGTCGTGGTTAACAAATTCGCAATAGAAAGTGCTTGTGGGGGGGCGGTAATTTTTTTCGCCGAGTTAGGGCAGAGGCACTGGGCTGGTTTGTGGGTAAGGGTGGAGTCAACATCACGTGCCGCTTGACCTGTCGCCAAAGTAGAAGTTTGTTTTTCTCACGCGCTTCATTTCCAGACGTCTTCCTTCCTCACAGCATGATTCCTTTTTCGATCCTACCCTTTCGCGCTGATTCGTCTCCGAGTGAGGCTCTGTGGATAACTAACCATCGGCTCCCTTTAGCTGATTAATAAGGTACGTGAACTCATTTTTCTTTGGAACAAAGTCTTCAATCCACAAACACCTACCTCAACTCCCATCCTGATGATAAAACACTTTTTATTTCTGGTACCTCTTATTTTAGAGCCCTTGCGGCTCAATGAATGAACTGGACTTCTGATTTCTTTTACTGTTGCTTTTCACATTTCAAGACTGCCTGCCCGTTGCAGAACAAGTCGCTGACCCGTCACAGTTGGTTGATGCGAATGCATGCGCATGATTCCCTACTAGTTTCAATAAAACATTTTCAATGAATAATCCCCATGACCTCTGCCTCCCAGAAATTCCTCCTGTGAAATTGTTTTACAAATGCTTGACTGCAGACCACTTTGATTTCCTTTAATTCGATGGACTCTCGAGGCCTAATTGCCAATCTCCCCCATAAAACGACACCAATACACTAATCAACCCAGTGCTCGAGAAGCACAGTTACCCTCTGTTACCCTCTGCCATTACCAAGCACCAACATCGAAGTTTTCCTAATTGAGAATCGTCAGCCTCTTCTAATTCATGAAAGGGGGAGAAGGAGGAGTTTACCTCTGGAAAGTATGTTGCCACCACTGTCCTGTCTGCGAACTTTCGGCCAGCCAGGGCCTTGAGTGCTTTCGCTGTGGTCTCCAGTTCATCGTACTTAATGAATATCTTTCCGACTCCGGCCGATTGCCTGCTTCCACCAGAAGGACGTGGGATTTTGATCGCGACGATGTTGCCGAATTTCGAGCATTCCTCCCGAACATCGTCGGAAATTTCTGTTTCTTATCAGTATGCTTCCAGCTACCACGGGATGAGAGAACAAGAACAGCTTACCTTCGTACTCATCGTTATCCAGAAGCTCCTCGGGTGTGACCATGTTCAGGAGCTGCAGTACCCGGCTCTGCTCAGCTGCATTACTTGTCTGCGATGCCAATCCGCTAATGGCAGCAATTCCAACATCAAAGTTGGCCATCTGCGTGGGCCCAATGCATGCTTTGACAACCCTGAGCTTCTTCCCTCCGATCTCCATTCCATTCAGGGTTTCGAGAGCAGGATTGTTGGCAGTGAGAGGGTCAGCAAACTCGACAAAAGCGATTCCCTAGAACGAGTTAGTGACACTTGGGGTGAAGTAGATGGTTGGATAAGCTTACGCTAGACTGCTCAGTACTTCTGTCTTTGACCAAGACGAAGGCTTTAGGCTTTCCAAATGCAACGAGGAGCTCCATAACTTGCTCCTCGTTGAGGAAAGTAGGTAGGTTTGTGATGGAAAGCTTGTTGATCGTGTCAGGTACGATGTTTGACACCACATCGAGGTCGCCCTTGAACTCTTCCGTGATTGCTGGCATCGAGAAATCCTTGGGTCGTCGAATTTGAAGACCATTGGCTGGGCCTCCGGAGCCATTGGCATCATCCGCGTGCATCGAGACGCCATCAAATGCAAGTGCTACAGTTGCATCCTGAGAATTCTTGAACTCCAGGATGGCAAGAGACCCGTCGCCGGAGAACTGGCACTGAGCACAAGGGTCTGGGGTTTCAACCACGTTCAACCCGTTGAGTTGCAGGTTGAAAAAGGCAATTAACTCTTCCTCCGTAACGCTCGGGGCGAAGTTGGACACGATCAGACGCTTCGACTGTCGAGAACTGCTGGCGAGCAGGCCAGAGCTAGAAACTTGTCCACCAGGCTGGTTAAAAGCCTGGAGCTTTGTGGGGTCTACGGGTTGTTGTCGGGGGGCACCAGGAAGAGGAAACATGCCTGACAGCTTGGCTTGCTCAGCTGTGACAAAATCATAACCTGGTGGCTTGATGTCCCATTGTGTGAGGCGTCGCTTGCGGTCCAGGACAGAAACAATGTCTGTCAGATCAGGAGTCGGCTCTCTCTTCTTTGGCGGCGGTGAAGCAGTACGACGGCTCTCATTTCTGGGAGGGGCTTCCTCGCGACGCTCCCTGCCACCTCGCCGGCGGTCGTCGTAGTTGTTGTTGTTGTTGTCTCGCTCTCGTCTGTTGTTGTATCGATCCTCGTCGTCACGGCGAGCATCCCGTCGCGAGCTGCCACGGTCCCTGTCCCATTCACGATCTCTGCGGCGATCGCGTCCGGAATAACGATCTTCGCGCTCGCGATCTCTGTGGCTTCGGCTCGAGGAATAGGCATCTACATCGCCCTCTGCCCGACGATTGTTTCGGTGGTCGGGGGACCTCGAGCGTCTGCGGTCGCGATCTCTGTGGCGCTCTCGCCGATCGTCGCGGTCTTCGCGTCCGCCCTGCAAACTGTTAGAATGGTTGAAAGGAATTCGATACGGAGATGGACATACCGGGTAGTCACGCCCCCGTCGACTGTCTAGATAGAAGAGCATCGTTAGCAAGAAAAAAAATATGGTCACGTAGGTGGTAAAGCAGCATACCTCGGGAGTAGCTATCACCGTTCATGGTTGATGCGTTATGAAAAGGAAATTCAAACACGCCTGGGGCTTCCAAAGTTCTTGGAAGATAATCAAAAGGCGGGTTGCATTTGCGCTTTTGATGAATGATGGCCGTTTCTCCAGATAAACTTGCTGATGGATGCGCGAGGCTGGAGCTTTTTCCGAAAATATACGCTAGTCTGTGTGAGGACTAGACCATTGAGCTCCCAGGTACGTACCCATTTGATTTGTACTAGCAATTGGGCGACAGAAATAAGACATCAAATTGAACGGTGGTTATGAGCAGGACCTTTCATTTGGTACCTAGAATAGAAAAATAGTATCAATTGATAAATATACATAATGTTTAGTATTTTTTCTCTTTAGACTATATTTTTTGCCCTCAATAATCCGAGAATACTAGTCGTAGGCTTAACAATAAGTAGTATAATATTTAAGTGTCTCAAGTTTAATGTCACCCACTTACCAGGGTAGAAATAGAAACCAGGGCAACTAAATCCTTTTTGCAACGAAACATTACCTTCTAACAGAGAGCAACTACTAGGTAGGTAGTATCAATAAGACGGAGGAGAAAAGAAAATATACTAAGTTCTACTTGTAATCTAGCCTGTCTAACCCTCAACCATGGCCTCATTTACCGACCTTAACCCTATTAAACCCAACCCCGAACAGACCCTAACCTATACCCAGGCGTGAGTTTCGCAAGTCTTAGTAGTTGATACTCAAGGCTCGTCTCCATTACGCCTATATCCAGATGTCATATATTGCGGATGCCGTGGATCCGGGTGGCTAATGAAACATTTCCATCTCTCCGAATGATCGCGGTGACGAGCTCGAGCATACGCCAAAAGAACCTCAGCACATCTGTCGATCTCAACCCTCACCTCTTGCTCATGTCTACCCACATCTCGAACCTCGCAGTATTTCATTGTTTCCATGAAAATCGTGTTGTAGGTAGAGTAGAAGTACTTGTCGGGGTCAAACTCGCTCCTCTGCTGTTGATCTGGCTCCGAACCAGGGGAAACATCGCTGTCGTGGCTGTCGTTGCTAGACCCTGCCTCAGACTGTAGGTCGATATACCAGGGTGGCATCTCCTTTTCGTCAGGGATCTGCATCTGGCCACCAAACATCCACCAAGGCTTTTTGGACTTCTTCTTACAATGGTCCATCTTGATTTTCTTGAGCCCGGAGTTTCGCTGATAAGGTTTGACGTTGAATCTGAAGTACGGAGTTCCCGCCTGCTGGCAAGCCTTCTTGGTGTTTTGGTGCGTCTTCTCTGTGTCGGTGACTCGTCTTGTCAGAGCCTTGAGCGTCGCTATTGTGAAGGGGCTGCCGCCCAGCCAGCCAGGTTTTATTTTCTCGCCACAGCCAAGACTGATCATCGCAGCGACCTTGGGCTCGGTTGAGCGAGACACCGCGCGTGCTTCGTCCAAGGCGATGCCGCTCGGATTGTTGTTATCAGCACCACCATCGATGTACTGAGCATCCTTAATCACCATGACCCCAAAGTGCTTTCGGGATGCAGTGCTAGCGCAACAAGCTTTCCAGATGGAAAGCTTGGATTTGTCCAAAAGTTTCGGGTTTGGGATATTTTGGATACTGGGTCTGTTGATTGTGTTGTTATATGTTCGGAAAAGATACACCTCATTAGAGTCTCCTCCTCCTCTTCTCTGCGTTACTAAAGCCCTGGTGTTGTATAAATGTTTAGTGAACGAGCATATTCATAGTACTGTGCAGGGAAGCAGGGACAAGTGTTACTTACGCCTTGCAAGTAAGATTCCTCGTGCTCTTGTTTTTCCGGTAGTTGTCATCGCTGAATTCGGCGTAGTCGTGTTGCCTGAGCTCCTCCTGTTCTCCAACACAGGGTCCTCCGGCTTGATGGCAGAGGCAGTGGCTCTGTATCACGCTATTGATTGCCCTCTTTAGTCTCTCTCTCCGCTGAGAGGGTAAGATGACACGAGGGGGAAAGATGTTGGCTCCGAGATTCCAATACGCCTTGATGGCATCGTCCACACTCATTCTCAGTCTTCCTAGCATGACGGCAATAAGTCTAATGAGTTGTTAGCCATGCAGCACGAAGAATTTGTGGAGGATGAGAGCATTACCCTCCAGTACTCGTTCCCACCATGAAGTCAAAAAAGTAGCATGGCAAGAGTTCTGGACATTTGACGTCGGAACGGCCTGGTGATATGATGAGCGAAATAGGATCGGCATAAGGCAGGCTATCCTTCTGGTCTTCCTCTATCTTCTCCTTGATCCGTTCCATCACTCTGCGCAAGATGAATAACTCGGAGAGACCCTTGATACCTCCCCCATCTATACATCACAATGGTTAGCTGTTGATCGAGGGCAAATATGAAGGTTTCTATATCACCTAAAGAAAGAACGATGGGTGCCCAAGGTTCGTTCACCGAACCATCATCTATCATAGAAGATGAGGCTCTCGATGAATTCTCATTCTGGGCTGGCATCTTGGAATCAATTCGATGGGAAAGATAACTTGTGAAGTATTGGCAAAGGAATATGTTAAATGAAATGGTAGAAGCTGATTGTCTGTACATCGAGTCACTATAAACCCAGGGTCTTGATGTTCAATATATATAAGGTATTCTAGCATACCAAGGCTCCGAAGATGGCTGATCTACTTGTAAACCCGAAGGGTTGCATTCACGGGGCTGAAAAGCCACTATCGTTGGATGGCTTATTCCTGCATGAAAAGTGTGTCGGGTTGAACCTTATTCCTATATGTAAGATGTGGCGGATTGTTCCTTATTTTAGACAAGCTGACAGGCACATGAAATAGTTGGTGCGCATAGAGTCCTCGAGCTACCTCCTTGTTATTATGACTGAATGTCTATAGACTTTACATTGGAAATTAGTCTTTAATTTAGAGATGTTGAAACTGATCTTCTGTTTCTAATATCTAAATGCCTGAGCAAGTGGTCTTGAAGCCATCAGATTGCACTTGATCTAGCATGGAACACTTTCGGAGAACAGAACAGCTTCTAACGCGCACAAACACAATCGAATCAATAATTCGTAGCGGCTATCGCATGCTTCAAATGAAGTGTGAATCCCACAGGGTCAAGCATGAATTCGGCTGTGGCTGTAAGCGCGCCAGCCTGCGGGAGGGCGTTCATGAGAGAGCCTTGTTCATACATATTTAGGGTTCAGGATTAGAGCTGAGCCTCCATCCAGTGAGCAACTGGGGCTTCTAGAATGCCCGTCCAGTACAGATGCACCTTCTCAGACACCACATCATTTTGAAAGTGCAATATTCAATCTTCTTATTTATAAGCAATCCACTGAAACACCTTTGCTCAGCCTTACTATTGGCGACTGAACTCGACGCTTGACACAATGCTGACCAACAATGTTATGTCTGAGGCGGTTTCCTGCAGTCAGTCCACCCCTCTCTTAGCAGGAACACTACGGGGGGCCAACAAGAATAGTCTCGGCTGAATCTGACATCATGCCTTGTAACAAATCATATTCTCTATATGCGTGGATGACAACGCGGTCAGCAGTCGTCCAACAGCTAGTTTTGCTTTATCTTACACTGCGAAATACATGCACTCTATACATGAAAAATCCTACTACCGATGCAGTGTTCAGTGGGCCATCGACCTAAGCCGCAGCTTACAAGGCACATTACAACCTTGTTGATATTAATAAATCCTTCTAGTATTTACTGATGATTTCGTATGCGTAATTATGACCAATAGGAGATGGGGTAGACCCGAGCCACGCTGTCTGTATCTTTAGAATCCCGAAGCAGCCATCACTTGCTCAGAGTTGAGGGCCGACTTCAGGGGGCCACATGTCCAGAAGGGAGGGAGCACATGTAGAATAATGGTGTGATTGTTTCCCAGAAACCCTCTTTATATTGCTGTAGATCGTCGTTACCCAATCCATGTTCCCCAGAACGAGGTACCCAACTTAGCTTGGAATAGTCGTAAAACTAGATCACTGAGAATTGAAGCCAGAAAAGGTCATGAAGAGAATGGGATTTATAGTTTTCCACCTAAGAAGTTTTTCGCTCTTGTGATCCATTGGCCAATTGGTCCTGTGCATGGCGAATTTTCTTCTGTGTATTCCTATTCTGCACGAACACACATACAATGACGACGATGTAGATGAAGAGTGTAAGTGGGATAGTAATGATCCAGTACAACGCAAACAGCGGTTTATTAGCAATCGTTATCATGTTGGCAGCAGTCTCCGGGCCGAAGAGAGAGGTCGAGAAGAGAGCAGCTACAAAGTTCCCGGGTAAGAATGTTATAGCCATGAGGGTGAGGATTTTCATGAATGATGATTCTTGAAGGGAAACAACTGCGGTGGCTTGCGTCGCATTTGCAATCTGGATCCCATTTACGCTGTCCTGCTGCGCGGTGAGATGGAACATCTATATGCATTGATGATTAGTGCGTTCTGATTTGATATTGAAGAGAATATTGAGGAGAAGATCGTTTGGACGATGATAATGAGGAAAACTTCTTCACCTACAGCATTCATTTGTACCTCAACCCGAGCTAGAATGAAATCGTTTTCAAGATGCTGCATAGCAAGTCGATGCTGCATCAGCCTGACCTGATGACCCATGTCCATGCAATGCTTACATTCTTCTCCCTCTATCGAGTCTGGTTTGTGACCGTCGTAGTTTATGTCAGTCTGAGTATGAATGAATCGATAAATTTCATGGAGAAACTCCATCTTGCGGGTTGTGCCCGCCAGCTTGGTCGCAAACCCGCTCATGGTTGCCAACAGCTCCCGTAGGTCACCGGGGGCTGGGAACTGCTGGAGACTGTTGAAACAGTGATGGCCTGTTCGTGCTTCAACACGTCTGATCTCTGTCTTGATGCGCTGATGTATGCTGTCGATGCGGAAATTAAGATGCAAACTGGAGATGAGAGCTAAGAACATGGGATGTGATACGAGGTTGGTAGACCATTGGCGGTGGATGAGCTTGGATAGGTTTTCATACTCCTTGGAATCAACAAATATGATTCCAAAAGTATGGCCACTAGGTTTAGTCAATCCTAGCTTAGTTAACGCTGCCTCCTCATCCTGGAAGGTAGTGTCGTCGCACTCGAGTGCTCTTGGTATAACATGCTTCCACAACAACGCAAGTTTTGGATGGTTAGCCAAAGTGTAGGTATGAATCTCGTCGCCACCAGCCGCTTGACAAGGTAATGCGCTTACCCCGGCTGGATAGCTCATCGCGTAGTCGAATGCAAACTGAAGCTGGGAGTGGCTAAGTAATGCCGAAAGACATGTCCCAGGCGAAGAGCGGGCGGTTTTTTTGCCATCGTCGCTTGCGATGACCATCTGGTATAGACGTGTCCATTGATTGCCATCGTAGTCCTGTTTGTTAGGAGGTCGATTGAGCCAGGCCTCGAGGTTGTCCTCTTGGAGGACTTGCTCCTCAATCTTTTGATGTCCAGAGGAGGAGGAGGAGGTATGCCAAATCTCGAGTCCAATAAACCGTGTCCATTTGAATTTGTGGTCTCGCCAGAGATTCTGGGAGCCGAGACAGTAGTAGCTCATGCTCATAAAACTGCATGCTAATACACCAAGAATAAGCTTGCCTATGCTGGAGCTGTCATTTGATTATCTCAAGATGTTGTTGAAGTTGGATTACATAGATGATCGGCCTTTGTATGGACTCATGAATTTGCAGTTTGAGTTGGGCGTCCCCGCTTAGCTGACTACAGTACCTCCTATATAAGAAATTTTCACATGTTAAATGATACATTGCTCACGATAATAGGAACGACTGGGCGGCATAAAAAAGTCTCAGGTATATGTTCAGGTGCATACCGACGGCTTAAGATGAGAGGTCAAGAATAAGACTGATGGAGATGTATAAGCAGCCATGCAGAAGTGGAACACCGGAATCATCTTCTACTCGCTAATGATGGCTGACTAAGCTCCAAAATACAGGGGGAGGGAACCCGTTTGGGTAACACGCGTCTGCCGAAGTCCCCTAACCAGAGGCGACGATCTCTTCAACTCCTGATACCAAGTTCGACAGTGGCCTTCTAGATACATCAGTCGTGACTTTGTTTGATCGTTCTTCTGGCATCTGCTCTTCTTCTGAAGTATTTTCTCTCTATTAGTTGATTCTTCCCATAAGATGGTTTTCAAGCGAATATCCGAATGGCGAAAACTACCTGTTGGTCTCTCTGAACTCTGCATTGACACAACCCTTCGCTGTGGCCAGTCATTCCGATGGCAGAAAATCAACGATGAGTGGTACTTTATTCCCACAAACTCTCTAGGCATAGTGCACTCGGGGCTAATTAAAACACATGCACAGGGTTTGCACTCTTCATGGACGCATCCTATCCCTGAAGCAGGACTCAACACACTTGCACTACAAAGTCACTTGGCCCGAGCAGAGCGTCAAGGGGTCTCCTACAGCGCAAAAGCTCACACCCAAGGCTGAGGATGACACGCAAGCCTTGTTACACCATTATTTCAGTTTAGATCTAGACCTAGCGAGCCTCTATGAGCAATGGTCAAGTGTCGATCCTAACTTCCGAAAGAAGGCACCGACCTTTACTGGTGTCCGCATGTTAAACCAAGATGCCTGGGAAGCTTTGATAGCCTTCATCTGCAGCAGCAATAACAACATCACCAGGATATCGCAAATGGCAAGTTCCCAATGACAACCCAAACAATAAGATACGGGATGTGTGATGATAACCCGGAATAGGTTCATAAACTATGCAAGCACTATGGTCCCCTGATCGCTCACATTGATGGCGTCCCGTTTTATGATTTTCCCAACCCTGATGATTTGACAGGGAATGGGGTTGAATCTAATTTACGAGAGCTGGGTTTTGGGTACCGAGCAAAGTATATTGCTGAAACAGCTCGCATCGTGGCAAAGGAGAAGCCGAGCAACTGGCTGGAAACTTTGCGCAATCCCGACAACCCCGGGTTTGGTTCGCAGCTGACACCCGATGCCAGGGTTTGCACATACAAGGAAGCACACGAGGAGCTCCTCGCACTGAAGGGTGTTGGCCCTAAGGTCGCTGATTGTGTTTGCCTGATGGGCTTGGGATGGGGTGAGTCTGTCCCGGTCGACACCCACGTTTGGCAGATCGCCCAGAGAGATTACAAGTTCGGGAAGAAGGCGAAGACCTTCAACAAGGCCATGTACGATGCTGTGGGGGATCACTTCAGAGACTTGTGGGGGAAATATGCTGGGTGGGCACACTCAGTCCTGTTCACTGCAGATCTGAAAGCATTCTCAGACAGATCGGTTGTGAAAGAAGAGACTCATGGGGTTTCGATCAAGGAGGAATTGATTGAGACCAACGGTATCGTCTTGCCAAAGAAGAGAAGGCTCGTAGAGACTAAAACCGTAACGGTCAAACCCGAGCCGGGTGTAGAAGAAACCAAATTACCTACGGAAGGGGAAGGGGATGCTAAGCGGAGGCGGACTCGCTCTAGGGGACGAGCTTGAAGGGATGGGTGCTATTATCGTAAAATTGGATATATAGACATAATATGAAGGCAATCACAATGAAAACAGTAACAATGAAAACAGTAACAATGGCTAGACAAGAATCGGCGCTATGGATGTAGAAATGTGAACGAGTAAATGAATGAACAGGCGAGATGGTCCCTCTACTACTGTAGGTAGGCAAGGTAGGTAGTGTGTTGGAAGCTCACTTCGGGTGGTGGGGATCGACTTCGGCTAAAAGCCGGGCAAATCCACGTTTTTGTCGCGGGAGACTTTTCGCCGCCACGGCAGCTTCAGTCACGAAGTTTCTTTGGTTCAGCTTGTCAGCCACCTTGGGACAACAGCCTCTTCCATGTGCATCTGCAATTCCGAATTGCCAACCTCTGACCTGGACGCGGGATGAAGCTGGAAGACGGATAATTCAAAATGTCTGACGCGGATTTTGAGAAGGCCATCAAGCTCCAGCAGGAGCGCAACGCCGCCGCTGCTGCGAAAAAGGGTTCGCGAACCTTCGACGCATCAACGCAACGTGCCGATTCAACCAAACAGCGACTCACAGACAGCGCGGACACCGCTCTCTACGGTAAAGATAGCGCAGACAAATATGCCGGCTACAACACCTCGTTGCCGATGGGGGATGATGATGATGAGATGGAGGGAGCCGACAACACACGGAGGCTCGTGGGACAGTACACGGCCTCTCGCGAGATGATCGATGAATTTTCCCGAGGCAATGGCGTCGAGGAAGATGATATTCTCGCCGGGCGAGGGGAAAAGAGCAATCGGATCACCGATCGCGAGACCGACTACCAGAAGCGGCGCTTCAACAGAGCTCTCACCCCGACGCGCGCCGATGCTTTTGCTGGAAATGGGCAGGCGGGTGCCACTGAGAATGGTTCTGGCTACCGTGAAATCATGGAGGCGCGCGATCTCGAACGAGAGGAGGAACGGGTTCGACGCGCGATCATTGCGAAACAAAACGGGGAAGTTGATGACGAGGACGCCAAGTCCATCCTCCACGATGCGAATAACGAGAACGGCGCAGCCGAGGATTCGGCTGCAGGCCGCAAGCGCAAGAAGAGATGGGACGTGGCTTCTGCACCGGCTGAGGAGGCACCCCAAGATGCTACCGATGGCGCTCAGGCAAAACGATCTCGATGGGACCAGGCGCCTTCAATTTCTGGACCGACCGCAGAGGCTCCAAAGAAGCGATCTCGATGGGACCAAGCTCCGTCAGCTACTCCCATGGTTAACCAAGGCTTGGCTACACCAGCACCGCAGGCTCAGGCCGCTTCATTGCCTCCCGGCTTTGGAACTGATATCACGATTCGCAACATGCCGATCAGCGACGAAGAGCTTGACATGCTGCTTCCTGGCGAGGATGAGGGATACAAGGTCCTGGAGCCACCTCCAGGATACGCTCCCGTGTCTGCTCCTGCCCACAAGCTTATGGCAACTCCCGCCCAGCACACTGGATTCATGATGCAGGATCCAGATCAAGTCCGCCTTGGCGGGAAGCCAATGCCAGCTGAGATCCCTGGAGTCGGAGATTTGCAATTCTTCAAGCCTGAGGATATGGCCTACTTCGGAAAGCTGACTGACGGTTCTGATGAAAATGTGCTCACTGTCGACGAGATGAAGGAGCGCAAGATCATGCGTCTTCTGCTGAAGATCAAGAACGGTACGCCTCCAATGCGTAAGACTGCCTTGCGTCAAATCACCGACAACGCGAGGCAGTTTGGTGCTGGCCCGCTTTTCGACCAGATTCTTCCCCTGCTGATGGAAAAGACCCTGGAGGATCAGGAGCGCCATCTGCTCGTCAAGGTTATTGACCGAATTCTCTACAAGCTCGACGACCTAGTTCGGCCTTACGTTCACAAGATTCTGGTCGTCATCGAGCCTCTTCTGATTGACCAAGACTACTATGCTCGAGTGGAGGGTCGAGAGATTATTTCCAACCTCAGTAAGGCGGCTGGTCTAGCTACCATGATCAGTACCATGAGACCGGATATTGATCATGTTGACGAATATGTCAGAAACACCACTGCCCGTGCCTTTGCTGTTGTGGCTTCCGCGCTGGGTATCCCAGCACTTCTTCCCTTCCTACGAGCAGTGTGCCGGAGCAAGAAGTCATGGCAGGCCAGACATACCGGTGTGAAGATCGTCCAGCAGATTCCCATCCTTATGGGCTGTGCTGTGCTACCACATCTCAAGGGGTTGGTTGACTGTATTGGCCAAAACCTGAATGATGACCAGACCAAGGTTCGAACCGTGACCAGTCTCGCTATCGCCGCGCTGGCCGAGGCATCCAACCCATACGGTATTGAGAGTTTTGATGAAATTCTCAACCCCCTTTGGACCGGCGCCCGAAAGCAAAGAGGAAAGGGATTGGCAGGATTCTTAAAGGCTGTCGGTTACATTATCCCTCTGATGGACGAAGAATACGCCAACTATTATACCAGCCAGATTATGGAGATTCTTCTCCGAGAATTCTCATCTCCCGATGAAGAGATGAAGAAGGTTGTGCTCAAGGTTGTGTCTCAGTGCGCGGGAACTGACGGTGTCACCGCCGGATACCTCAAAGAGCATGTGCTTGATGAGTTCTTCAAGAACTTCTGGGTAAGGCGCATGGCATTAGACAAGCGCAATTACAGACAAGTTGTCGAGACGACAGTCGACATCGGCCAGAAAGTTGGCGTGAGCGAGATTGTCGAACGCGTCGTCAACAATCTCAAAGATGAAAGCGAAGCCTACCGAAAGATGACTGTCGAGACAGTGGAGAAGATTGTGGCAAGTCTTGGCGCGGCTGATATTGGTGAGCGCCTCGAGGAACGTCTTGTAGATGGTATTCTGCACGCTTTCCAAGAGCAGAGCGTCGAGGACGTTGTTATGCTCAACGGCTTTGGCTCCGTGGTGAATGCTTTGGGCACCCGCTGCAAGCCCTATCTCCCTCAAATTGTCAGTACCATCCTATGGAGACTGAACAACAAATCGGCTACTGTCCGCCAGCAGGCAGCGGATCTCATTTCTCGAATTGCCATGGTGATGAAGCAGTGCGGTGAAGACGCCTTGA